TAGCCACATATATATATATATACACATATACATGCATACATAGCAGAGTATTTGATAAACATAATGTGGTGTTGGCTATAAAAAAAAAATACATCTTTTATAACAAATAATTTTAAAGGGGCTATTTTCCAAAATGAAATATCTCATCATGTGGCCCAACCAGATATCAATTTATTCATTCTGATCAGCCTCTATGTATTTCAGAGGTTTGCACCATGTTAATAAAGGGGGTGCTGACATTTATATAAATATATTGTAAAGCGCTGTGCAAACTATTGGCGCTATATAAATCCTGTATAATAATAATAATAATGAGGCATTAAAATATTTTGAAGGGCACCTTGTGCAACTATTCATTTGAATATCTGCATGGAGTTCAGCTTTAGCAGCCAATCACACTCAGTCAAGTGCAGCAGCACACATACATCCAAACAAGTATTTTAGAGGTGTTTATAGACAAGTGTACTGTACGTTTCTAATCATTATAGTAAGGAAACTATTTATTTAAGCTTGCCATTCAGGATGCACCATCACATCAAGATAACCGTTTTATGTGAGTCGGCTAGAACACTTGCTTATGTAAGAAGACTACTCTTACATCTGCGTGTAATTAAAAAGCAATAAAGATATACTTGCCATTTCTTTTTATTAACTTAGTTCTGCTTACTTTGTCTGGAGATATTCAAGTAAACTTGCTGCACAGGGAGATTTGTATCATCCTCATTTCTCCAGGGAATTGACAAAACCATTAATATACCAGTTGCTCACTTCATTCTATTAACTAATCTCTGTTCATGGTATTAATTGATGATAATTGAGTATGGTGCTTAATTAATACAAATATAATGATCTGTTTAGGACTGTAGGCTGTGTCTGGGACAGCAGGTTACGAAGAGCAGCATCAAAGCACAATTTTCAAATGTTTTCTTGTTGCTCCTATTACAGTGATTACAACTGGGACTCCTGATCAGTAACTGTCGGTGTCAGCTCAGTCTCTGTTATCGAGCTCTCTTCCAGCACAAACACAAGTTGCATATATGGGGCACCACAAAAAGAAAGCCCACTTCTATGAGGCCACATATGTGTTTCAGTGTTGTGCAGGGATTAATGAAAGCTGCACATTTACAAATTATGAATATACTTGATATGTTTTGAAATTACTTTGCGGTTCAGGAAAAGTAAATGAAACTAAACAAGAACAAAGCTTTCATATGTATGCATAATTATAGTAAGGCAATCCATCAAGCATTTTATGTGTTATATGTTTACTGCATGTAAAGTGTGAACCAGCCCAGCAGAACTCTGGGGAAAATTATTCTTAACCATTGTAGTGGGACTACCCCCGCACTGCAAGGGTTAATTGCTTGTTGTGGTCTATGGAGTACAATAACAATTATACTCACCCCATCCTTGGCATCGGCCAGCTGTGACAATGCTCCTTCTAGCCTGCCTCCTTCTCTGCTTGTTGCTATGCAGTGCATAGGATGCGAGGACACCAAGGGACATTCCATCTCTGAGGTCGAGGAGGATACCGCTCGAGGGACAGGTCTAACAGCAAGCCGACTCCGAGGATCAGGTGCGTATAACTGTTATTTTCCTCCCTAGACCAAACCCAGGCCCAACCAGATATCCAGTTAAGCAATTTAGCCGTGCAGTGCGGGGTAGCCCCTCTGCAAGGGTTAAGAAAAAAACTCCCACTAACTTGTGCTTTAAGAAGCTTATACAGAATGACTTTAAATCATTCTGTATAAGCTACCTTAAAAGTACCGGTATATGAATTTCACACAAACAATGAGCAGGTAGGCAATCTTTCAATTCAGTTTTAGCTATCATGAGGGCTCTTATGCAAATCATTACAAAGATTACAGTCAGAGACAGAATGGCAGATTGATCTCTTTTGCCTACAGAATGCTTCTGTCCTCCACAAACGTCGATGTTAATGTTTGTACAATCAAATTAATGTATATGAAGCAAAGAAACACAGGAAATTCTACAAGTATTCATTTCCCTCCACAGAGCCGTTTTCATTATAATATGGGTAACAGTATCTGAGCAGACAACTCTTCATCTGCAGACTGCAAGAACAAAACCTCATGATATGGACGATTATCCCTACATTTGCAAAACATTGATCTTCAAACAAATGAGCTCTCTGTCAGCAAAAAAAAAAAAAACAGTATCTGAGCTCCACGGCACAGCACTGATTTATTTTGCAAATCTTCCTTCTTATGCAGACATTTATAGAATTCAGAATCAAACTTAAAATAAACCGAAACACTGAACTTCTTTCTTCTAATCATTTTATCATAATTACCATTGATGCTCCCCTTGAAACAGTAGTACCATTAAAGAAAGTAAAAAGTATAAAAAATTTAAAAATCGCACAACATATCCATGCAGCCGTTAGATGTTTAAGAGCAATTTTAGAGACATCTTTTAGATTAATGCTGAATAGGTAATTGTTAAAATGTAAGCCATTAGCAGTTTTCAAAGCATGCACCAGCACAAAGCTGGGTACACACAGGGTATTTGTGAAAACATCGGCCAAAATTTGATTCGTGTGTACCCAGCTTTCGTCTACATGTATTAAGTAGACATAGCTAGCTTTAATGGTTAGAGGTCAGTTCAGAGATTACATTCTGTTTGCATGAACTAAACATTGTAAACTTCTTTTTTTACCTGAAAATACAGAAATGTAAATTTTCTTCTTTAACCAGTTGACATCCGCGGTGTTAAACCCCCTTCCCATCCAGGCCATTTTTCAGTATTCAGCGCTGCGGTACTTTGACTGACATTTATTCCGTCATGCAGCGCTGTACTGAAATGAATTTTATACCTTTTTTTGGGGACAGATAGAGCTTTCTTTTGGTGGTATTTATTCACCACTGGGGTTTTTATTTTTTTTATATATTAAGGAAAAATCACCGA